GGGGGTAGCTCACACCTTGTGGGCCGCACTGACCCTTCTCCCACGTGCCCTTGCCCGCCCCTCTGACCGCCGCCCGAGAGGCCCGACTTTAAGGGGCTGGTGAGAGCCCCCACCGTTGCGCCCTCACCTCACGCTGATATATCCTTTGGGAATGCCCATGGACTCTAGGGACCTGGGGGCAGCTTTGCCCGCGGGTGCCATGCTAGGCTATGGTAGCCATTCTCCCAGATTCTCCGGAGAGGCCGCAAAAGCGGCCAAGGCGGCCTCCACTCAAGGATCGTTGGGATTTTCTGGTGACCCCGGCTACGTGCTGTTCGCCCCCGGCTACGCCTGGCACAATTTATTAGAAGTCGGGGCTTCATCTTCCGCCCGAGAGAAAAATCCCTCTTGTCTCTCAGCCCACTTGCCCATAGCCGCCGAGACGGCGCGCTCTGCTGACTCTCATCTAGCACCCTCTTGGGGCCTCTCCTGACCGCTGTGGGCCTCTCCAGACCTCCTCTTGCCTATGGGAGTACCCCTCCCAGTCTACTTCCTAGGACACAGGCACAGGTTTGCATAATGCAAGCTCTTTCTCAAGGGCTACAGTGCAGAGAAGAAATGCGCATTAACTCGCACCGGGGTGTAATGTACTTGTTGGAGAGTGTGAATCAAACCTACTTCCTGACCGTAGCCTGACCGTCCTTGTGTAACCGTCTCATGTTTGGTTTGTCCTGCCGCGCACATTGTCATCGACTTGTATCCGACTTGGTGGTTGTGGTGATGTAGCGATGGTGTGGGTCTCTAGTGACCTATACAGCTCCTCCGTGTTCCGTCTCCTGACATGGTACCGACCGGTGAGTGCACGGAGTGAGCAGTGCGGCACTGAGGCCGACATGAGAGCTGGTGCGGCACACAAGCGAGATGTGTTGCCGCACAGCATTTCCGGCTTACGCTCGATACGTTGGCTGGCACCATGGGCACCTGCGCGAGCCGTGGTGATTGGCTGGGCACAGAGGCTCGGCGCACGGTGGCACAGCGGCCGCCAACTGCTCGGCACGGAGGCTGAGCAGAATGAGTACAACCGCAACATCAACTTGGGTGCTTGCGGATCTTCTGCGACAGAGCGCATCTCCGCCAGCACTGCGGCTGTGTGGACACGAGTATCCCCTCTTGCTTCTCCTTACCGGTCCGTTCTCCTCGCCTACGGACCACCATCGCAGCTGCTGCCTCCGCTACCAGCTCTCGGGCTGCTGCAACGGCAGTTACCGCAAAGATCTCGCACCGAATGTGGACCCTGCCTTTCGCCGCCGCTACTTCCGACGTCGCCGCTCGACACGACCGGAGCTGTACGCGATGAACACGCGACGATCGACACGCCCTCTCTGCCTTGTGTGGCGATTACCACGTCGTGGGGGAGTGTTGGGCATCTGTTCGACGTGGCAATGCCACTCTACCTCATTGCTGTCTCTTCCTCGTCTCGCCTCCTCGCGCTAGCCCGTCCCGCTATCCAACGCCTCTGGCAAGAAGTCCAATGCGCCTCTACGAGCGCCTCTGCCGTCTGGACGTCTGAGACTGAGCCTGCCATCTCCGACGTCGGCGGCCCGTGGCGCAACATCAACGTTCGGGGCATTGAAGATCGTCCTCACGTCCCTGATGCGCTCATCCGCGTCAACGCGGCGAGGCCTCCCAACGGCCCAATCGCCGCGCCGCAAGGGGGCGCCCCCGCTGCCGCTCCCGCGCCCGCCGCGCCTGCCGCGCCCGCTCAAGCCGCCGCCCCGCGACGCTCAGCCCGGATTGCAGCTCGCGGCGCGCCATGACCGAGCTCCACAACGAGCTCCTGTTCATTATCTCCCCTTTCTCTCTCTCCGCCCACTCGGCCGCGCTTTGACCC